CTGCTTAGCTTTCAATTCGCCTCTGACCATCAAATGAAATGTGAATAACCCGTCCTCCTCTCTTTGAAACAAGGGGCGCTTCCGGTTCTGTTGGTGCTTGAAACAATTTTGTCTTCTCCATATTACTATATCTCTAGAGTCAATAATTTTATATGAGGAACTACTGAACTCAATCACTTGCTGCCGTAGCAGCAGCAGAAGAGGAAGCACGAAAGGCATGTATTACAGTGAAGAACTGTATGTATTACAGTGACATGAGTGCCGAACAGAGGAATGAGAAGATAACCTCGACAATCAGCTACTGCAAGGTTAGTGTTGTTGAAAAAAATATTTAATAGTTTTGGACCTCATTTTTATTTGGGAGAATTTCGAAAAAGTGAAAAGTAAAAAAATAATTTTTAAATGGTGGTATAAGATTTATTTGCATTATCTAATCCATAAATCACTTTCACCTCCATCATTTTGAAATTATTTTTCTACTCTCCAACTTTTTGATATTCACCCTTTTTATTTTCTCCACCGTTGAATTAAATATACAATTCCTGAAAATATCTCACATACAATCCAATTCCCTTAATCACACTTTTTCCAAACAAGAGGCAGGAAAGGAAAGTAAAAAGGCAAAAAAAATCGGAATAAATGAAAGGCGTCCATTGTCTAATGGATAGGACAAAGGTCTTCTAAACCTTTGGTATAGGTTCTTCACTACTATTTCCACTTTCACCACAAACGGAACTATAAATGTAACTGTCACTGTAATTGTTACTAAACCTTTTGGATCTTATTAACCAAAGAGATATGACTTTGCACTATAGTTAACTCAGCACCAATTAAGAATACCCAAGGAATTCCAAGAATTCTTGTTATACGTTCGTTCCAACCCTCAACCCTATTTTCTAGATTCATCGATATTTAATCAATCGAACGCACTTCTAATACTTGTTCCACTTTTGGAAGCGCTTTTTCTCATTTTCATTTTTTAAGGATTCATTTCTCATTTATCTAATTTTATAAATCTGAAACAAAAAATGGATTTTATCAATGAACACAAAATAGAATCTATTTTGAATCACTTAAATTTGACACATTTTTCATAGTTAATATCCCAATTAAAAACTTTTATAGATTGGGTTGAAAGCGGCAAATATATAGGAGTATATATATTAATTCATATCTATAGTAATTCATCGAAATAATAATTCAGAAAATGAGATTACAAAAAAGTTCTAAACTTATAGTTTCAACGATTCATTAATTTTGACTAAAAATCTATGGGTTGATATGGAAATGTTTGGTACATGAAACCACAATCTGATAGATATACATCTAAATAGGTAAATCGTATTCTTATATAGTATATAGATAGAAATTAAAATGAATTAAATTTCAAATTTATTTATTAATTTAATTAAATTATATAAAATTATATAGATTAACATGAATCTTGGTTTGGAATCAAAGAAAGATATTAAAAAATCCATTGCAATTGCCGGAAATACTAGGCCTACTAAAGGCACAAAAAGAGAGGGAAAGCTGAAAGTTATCATAGAATGAATACCGGGTAGATCTATAGGACATACACGAACACATACTTCACAAGCAATGCATTTATCAAATTCAAAGTGGATTCGGCCCCGGAATCGCTCCGATGTGATCCATGTTTCATAAGGGTATTGAATAGTTACAGGTAAACGATTCGCGTGGGATAAGGTAATTATGAAACTTTGACCAATGTACCTTGCAGCTCGTACTCTTTGTTGACTGTAATTCATGAACCCAGTTACCATAGGGAACATATCGTAAATATCTATAAAAAATTTAAAAAGAAGTTTTAGCAAGAATTCAACTTAACCCCCTATTTTAGTGTATAAATATTTTATTGTATAAATAGAAATGAAATTTTTTTTATTTTATTAATAAAAATATATAAATAAATACCATAAAAATAATAAAAAAAAGTAATCTTTCTCGATAAAGTCGGTTGATTAGGGTAAAATTGTATCCCTTAAAAACCGTACATGCACCTTTTGAGGCATACGGTTCAAAATAGGAAAGGATACTCTGAATCATAGAACTATAATGAAATATACGATCAACCAACATTTATCGAATTTGAAAAAGAGTCAGAAGAAATGGTTGAGAGTACTTGGGTTCTCCCAACAACTAAAAAGTGTAGCATGCCTGAATCTAACTGGGGTTCGCAGTGGTGGAGGAACTGGATCGGAAAAAAGAGGGATTCTAGTTGTAAGATATCTAACGAAACCGTTGCTGGAAATCTTATTCAAAGAGAAAGATATCAAATATTTGGAGTTTCTCTATCAATAGACCTGCTAAAGACCCGAACCATAAAGTACTTAGTACTGGTGCCACAGAGAGATATGTTTTTAAATCTCGCATTAAAAAACCTCCTTCTTTTTATTGTAATACATATATGATCAGATGCATATGTAGTTAAGGGACACTTGTAGTTGTACACAGAATCTCTAATTCAAATTGAAATGTACAATGATCTGGTAGATAGGATTTTCTTTTGCTTAAAACAGAAAAAAAAAGATGTCCCTTTCTTCCCAAGCATTCCCGAAAAATATTCATTTCTTTTTACTTATGATAGGTTCTGTATTTCATATGTATATAAGGCTTTTACTATTATTATATGATTATTATATGTTATATGAGACCAAAAAGAAGAAATGGCAAGATAAATTGTGTATATCAATGGAGAAAATAAGGATGTGGAAAACAAGACAGGAATACTCTACAATGACACTGTAGACCAATTAAAGGGATGTAGCGCAGCTTGGTAGCGCGTTTGTTTTGGGTACAAAATGTCACGGGTTCAAATCCTGTCATCCTTCAACCGATATGCCCTTAGGCACGGCCATACATAACATAGAAATCACACTTGGAAAGGGTGGACAATTAGTTAGAGCAGCGGGTGCTGTAGCGAAACTGATTGCAAAAGAGGGGAAATTGGCCACATTAAAATTACCTTCTGGGGAGGTCCGTTTGATACCCAAAAACTGCTCAGCAACAGTCAGACAAGTGGGGAATGTTGGGGTGACCCAGAAAAGTTTGGGTAGAGCCGGATCTAAGCGTTGGCTAGGTAAGCGTCCTGTACCATAAATTAAGATTTTGTTGTTATAGGACATGGGACATAACAAAAAGACGATACTCAATGATGAACCAACCCATAACCCATAAAAATCCTTTTCTTTTTACCCATACGAATCTTTTTCTTGTAACGAAAAAAGGATATGTAAAAAAAAAAAAAGTAAAGGAACAATAACGCCTTCCTGATAGAACAAGAAATTGGTTATTGCTCCTTTACTTTTAAAAACGAGTATACACTAAGACCAAAGTCTTATCCATTTGTAGATGGAGCTTCAATAGCAGCTAGGTCTAGAGGAAAGTTATGAGCATTACGTTGTTGGATCAGGAATCCACTTTTGGATTTGGTATGGATAAAAGATCTTCTTAGGGTATACTATTCAATTCTCGACGATGAATTGATTTGATAGCTTCGATATTGTTATTCATGATATTGATCCGATTCGATATCATCGAGAGGTAATTCATCCATTCCATTGAATTTACAGGTGAAAGATTTATCATCTCTATGGGATTAAATCCCAAGTTGTTGTATTGTGAAGTAAAAAAACGATGAGATTATATTCTTGCATTTATTGCTACTGCACTGTTCATTCTAGTTCCTACTGCCTTTCTACTTATCATTTACGTAAAAACAAACAAGAATTCATTTTGATCGAACCGGCCAGTTTCGTTTGTTTACTGTGGGGCATGTTTCAAGATTCATCGACTGGAATCCTATTTCCATTAAACCTTATTTTTTTTCGATATAATTTTATTTCGATATAGTTAGTATAAATAGATATTATTCTTATACAAATAAAATTATCTTGAATAAAAAAAATAGTAGAGAAAGGTTATATAAAACTATATACGAGTCATCACTCCCCCACCTTTTGTATTTCTTCGAATATTTTTCGATTTATTTTTATCTGTTAGAAAAAAAGAGAATTTTCTATGTTTTCATTAAATTCAATACAATATTAAATAAAAATAAATAAATAGGAGACTGGAAATGAACGCCTAATTGAATTCAAGAAAGTCTCTGACGAATATAAACAAAATAGAGCGTAAAAATTCGTGTAAGCCGGCGAGAACCATGTGAATCACTACACTACTTGATTCAAATGGTTCTCATAAAGACCAAACATATCTGGTTAAATTTTAAATTTTTTTTTACTTAACTTAAGATATGACTCCAATTTTTGACCTTGTTCCCATTGCAAAATATTGGATTTCTATTCACATCATGCTTAGTCTTTGAATTGAAACAAATTAGAATTCTCAATTCTCTACGACATCTAGACGATAAAATATTTTCAGGAACAAGCAGATCATAATGATTTTTTTTTCTATTTCCGGTTATCCTTTGATGATGCCTTGAAATGGATTCATCAAAATCCTTATCCTTCTTATCAACATATCTTTGTTCTCGGTATCTTTGATTAGTTTGATGCCTACTCGTATGAACTAATGAAATACCTATGGTTTGATACATAATAAACTGTCCATCATTTTTTACAGACAGACGAAGGGGTTCGATAATTAATATCCCCCTTTTCATCAATTCTGTAAGAGTTAAATTCTTTTGAATCAGCATTATATCCAGATTAATCGCAGGTTTCTTTTTTGGACAAAGAATATTTCTTTTTTTTTTCTTCGCCCCTTGCATTGAAAGAACAGATTAAAAAAAATGGGTGAATTCAATAATAGACGCCTGTTGGCATTCCAGCCTTCCTGTATCCTTTCCCCGGTTCCATTGCTACCGCGGGCTTTACGCAATCGATCGGATTATATAGATATCCCTTCAACAAACATAGGTCATCGTTTTTTAGTGTGTTATATCCACGAGAATCTCATTTCTTTTGATGGGGAGGAGGTCCACCTTCTTATATTTCTACATCTAGGATCCG